AGAGAGAGAGAGAGAGATGCAGAGCGTGTGCAGAGCAGGGGGACGCGAGGAACAGTATTAAGAACCGCTGCTTTAGAACATTGATTTTGAATCTTGTGAATCCATTAGAATCGTTAGAAGACAGAATCGTGATTCATATATGAATAGATTTTTACGTGCACCTCTAGTTTTCTCTTCCTCTTCTCTAAAGCAACATGGCCTCGCCCCCTTTGCTGCCTTTTCCCGAGGGCGGGGTTTATCTGGGTTTGTGATGTCATGAACCCGGGAAGTAACTCGTTGTAGTCCCTACCAGCCGTTTTTGTAGGCATTAAACTGCCAGAATTTTAAAAGAAGATATCTCTGTTTGCATTGAACTTTCAGCTTCGTAATTTTGCAGATATTGTTTATGCTCAAACAGCAACATTACACTAATTAACGTTAAAAAGTGAAATCACAATCAACCACCCCTTTAAAACAGTATTTTGGCATGTTTGTGTCAGATGGTTCAACAAAATCATCTGTATTCATATAAATATTTTAAATCCCTTGAAGTTTTTTCCTCCAGGTCAGAGACGTGGTAAGAACTCTTCCTCTCGGATCAGTGATGTTTTATTCACTTGAGGTTTGAGTGTTTGTCTGTCTGAAATTTGAGTTGTTAAACGGGTCATTTGGTTTTTCCACAGGGCTTCAGTGAAGTGCTTTATGCCACCCTGATGTTTGCTTTTGGGAGGAAGGACGTCATCTTACCACACACAGTCTGAAATGTTTAGTGACACCCTGGACTGAATTTATAGCTGCTTTATTTATTTTACATTGAATAATAATGATTAGTATAATTTTCCAATCCTTTAAATATTATTGCATGTTCCTTTAAATATTAAAACCATGCACTAAGTGTTATACAATGTGCAAGGATCCTTTTGTCCTTTAGCCTGTTCTTGGAACAGTTTCAGAGAATTCTGGAATGTCCCAGTGATGCCCAAAGCCCTTTTCCAGAGATTTTCTCAATATGTTGAACTTTCCTTGTCTTTACCCTCGATGAAACTTAATTATCTAAATGGGAACACAGTTACATTAAGTGGTTACATATGTGTTTTTCCAGGCCATAGATTGAGTAAAAGTGCTCTAAAGAGAGAGAAGAGGATTACAGTTCACACAAACGGACGGGATGGGTGCTCATGTCCTGAACTGGAATGTACTGGACTCTATCAGTCCCTTGAGTTTCTGGAGATGATGTCATCATGTGTGCATGTAGTTTTGGCTCATGAATTCTTGGCAGCTGTTTAGGATGGAGAGTTGCAACATATGCGGTTGATTGTCCATTTGGCCAAGATATGGCATCTCTGCGCTCCCCTACTTAAAACACCGATAATATACTGCATAACACAAAGGCATGCAGTTCAGTTAAATTACCTTAATGCTATGGTAACCAAACTTCCTGCCAAAACACAATACACTTACTACAAAAGTATAAAAAAGTCAAAACAGATATTAAATGACAGCAATATTCCTTCACTGTTAGCAGTATATATGTTTACAAAAGTGAATTGCAGCTACCACAAACAATAAACACACTACTGTTCAAAACTTTGTTTTTGAAAAAAAAAAAAAAAAAAGCTATGCTCAACAAAGCTACATTTATTTGATCAAAATACAGTAAAAACAGTATTATTGTAAAATATTATTGCAATTTAAAATATAATTTCCTACTTTGTGTTTTAAAATAGGCTATTATTTAGAATTATTATTATTATTTAGAATATTTAAAATATTATTATCATTTATCCTCTGATGACAAACGATAAAGATGAATTTTCAGCAGCTATTTCTACTATTGATAGCCTGTTTTCTTGTAAAACGTAGCCTACTCCGGTAGTCTTTATTTACAAAGTCGAATTTTAGTGTAGTTATACAATTACCAATGCTGTATGAACATATCACATAATTTTACACAGCCCATAGACTTAAAGCACCAATCATATTACACCAACCAAGCATTATCACCTTTGAATGAAACGCAGCCACAGATTGACGGATTGGTTGGGACTTTTATTTGTCGAAGCAGTAGCTCCGGGTCACAGGTGTTTGGCTTTTGAAGATGGCGGCGCCCGGTGAGCTGTTCTGCTGGAAGGCTGGTTTGGGTTTACCGTCAGTAAATACGGACTGTCTCATTGTGCTGGTGAGTTTTCATCACTGGCTCATGTAGTCTGGATGTTTATACGGGTTGGGTTCTGTTTAAGATTCCGTCTTTATGTAGAGAATCGCCTCGGTACCGATCACTTAGTAAAGTACAGTGGTGGTGCGATATGGTACAGTGATATCACATAGTCATACCATAGCTTTTAACGTGGCATATATATTTATAGTAACAATAATAGTATATATTTATACCAGGATTTTTATTTGATTACATTTTTACCAAATTTGTATTCTTTGCGTGATACTAAAATAAAATGTACTTGTATAGTTTTGTGTGTGTGTGTGTGTGTGTGTGTGTGTGTGTGTGTGTGTGTGTGTGTGTGTGAGAGAGAGAGAGAGAGAGAGAGAGAGAGAGAG